TGAAAACCTCTTAAATGTAAAAATCTAAGACATAAAAACTTTCATTTTTAAAATCATACCTAAAATAGTTGGTGTATCAACTTGGATATTATTCAACTGCTTATTGTAATCTTCAATCCACTCAGCAACATGTAGTTGAAAACCAAGAGCATGAATTCTACTTCTGAAAGTTGAGTTATTAGTACAAACTTTTAAGAGTAAGTGAGGCACATTTTGGCTGCCATATATTGTAGATAATGGAGACAAAAACATCTAACATTAGGGAAAAAATCAATTATATTCTATCTAATGAAGTCAAAAACATCTAATAAAAAAAGAAACAATCAAGTATATTGTAGATAATGGAGATGTAATCTATATCTAATGTAAGGAAGATTATATATAGTCTGCTTCTCTGTGTTGCTTTCCCTGTGTTCTTTAAAGCTTCTGTTGCAATGTTTAGGGGTAAGATAGAGTTCTAACAATTTAAAAAAAAACAACCTCTTTAAACATATTGGCCTTTAGGAGGTGAATACCGTTAAATATTTAAAAACATAAATAATTAAGCAAAATCTCCCACTCTGTAAACTGTTAATCGTGACTTTCAAATTAAAATTTGGTTTTTTAGGTTAACAGATAATTTTAGGCACTAACAGATAAAAGCTGATAAAAAACAAACATGGCGAGCCAAGCAAATTTCTCGAGATGGCAGCCTTTTGCCCAAATTATTTTTTATTTCCGCCAATGACATTTGCTGTCATAATAAATAAAAAAAATAAACACTCAAACTCTATTTATAAACAAACCAATTTAATTTATAATATAATTTAAAAGAAACCTTTTGATGTAGAGTATAAATAATAAAATATTAAAGTAGAATTTATAAAAAAATTTAAGTTTCAAATGTGTTAATATAAATAATAGAATACAATACACGAAAATAACATTAATTACCTTTCTAAACACACAACAGAGAATATGAAATGGAATCCAATGAATGCACTTTAAAATGATGTCTAATAAAAAATGATCAGTATTGCTTAAAGTTTGAAAAGTTGATTGCATAAACATTTCCATGCGATTTGAGAGCAAAGTCAAAGGTGCATGATCAATTTGGCCATTCAAACATAATATAGAGGTTAGACACAAAGATATCCTTTTAGGATCTGTAGAAGCCAATGCTTCTGCGAATAGTTCAATTGAACAGTCTTTTAAAATTTTTACAAATTTTCCAGATTGAATCTCTAAAAAAAAGTATTGAACATCCTTAAAAGAAAAATTTGATTGTAAAAACACCTTTAAGTTTCCCAATTTATTCTGAAACATTTCATCCCAATTGGTCAATTGTGATATCTCCTCCAAATAAGGCAGTGAATTAATTTTTGAAACAGCAACTTTAATCAAAGAATCGTCTGAGTGAGTTTTGGAAATAAGTTCTTTTTGATACTCAGTCCCACACAAAACAGCATGTTGATAGATAAAGACACAATCTGTTGGAATTCCATTGAACAAACCAGAAAACAAGGATGGATCTTTTACATTAAACTGTATTTTCAATCCTTGGACTTTATCATCCTAAAATGAGCAACTAATTGTAATTAGCAATACACAATTGAAAAAATTTTCAGTTTTGATAGCAATATAATTATTTAATAGTATATTAATTTATATAAGCAGATTTCCTTTATTTTTCATATTTAAATCACTTTTCTTTCTCACATTTCTTCTTTACCACTCAACTTTCATTATTTTTATAAAAATTTTATTTAAAAGAAAAACTTTTAAAAGTATAGAGTCAAAAAGTATGAAATAAATGTTTTTTGTAATAACCATTACTTCTATCCCCTTTGTATTCACCTTAAATCAACTTTGTATTCATTTTACATTCACTTTTCCTGGTATGTGTATATTGTGCAAAAGGTTTGTTAAAAGATGAGGAAAATCATTAAAATTAAATGAGATTAAAGTAAAACATTTGCAACTAAAGCACAAAGAAAAGTTTTAACATTAAGAAATAAATATCTTACACTACTTCTGAAGCTCCATATACTTCTACCAGCAATAATACATTATAAATTAAAATTATTCAAGCTTCTGAGAAAAAAGGGCAAGACCACTAATCTGTTCGACTCCATAAAATATTGGGAAAACTGGTCACATTGGATGTTAATTCTATTGCTGAAAATTCAATAAACTGATATAAGATGCTTACCCCAATCATAAATTACCTCATAGAATTTATTTTAACCAAACCCAAGTCCTAGCATGTATATTGAACTGATTAAATATTTTTTGACAGCTGCTATCATAAAAATCATATTCTCAAGCATTACTGGGCACAGAATAAACCAAACAAGATTTATATAAGAAACTGCTATTCTTTTTTTTGAAAGTAATCATATTAGTGAATTATAATTATAAAAAAATATATATTTAAATATATTTATGAATTATATTTATAAAAAGTTTGGGGACTTGAAATCTCTTCAAGCAAAACTTATTGTTTAGACAATACAAACAATATTAAACTTATCTTATTGTTTAGACAATACAAATAATATTAAACTTATCTTATTGTTTAGACAACACAAATAATATTAAACTTATCTTCTTGTTTAGACAATACAAATAATATAAAACTTATCTTATTGTTTAAAAATGATGTAATTAATATTAAAGCTAAAATAAAATACGCTGAAATCAATTCCATTCTCTCTTCATACCTTGCAACTTTATATTCATGACTCCATATTGAATTAAAAATCCATGTATATTAACTTTATGCCAAAGAATAACAAACTCATTTTAATTATTAATTAAAATATGCAAAATCAACTTATCTGCCATTAAATACCTCACAAAATAAAACAAGCTCATTTAAAATGAAGTTGTTTCATACAATTTAAAAGTTTCATGTACAATTTAAAAAGAATTTTGAAGAATAAAAAGTTTTTTTAACATCTTATGTTATTACACCAAAATGCAATAATAATGAACTTACATCCAATGATGTTAAAACTCTATTTGAAATCTTGACAAATTTAAAATGAGGCAGGCAAAAACAAACTTCAAAAAAAATCTTGATAAATTTTATGTCAGCATATGCTGAATCCTAGATATTAATTACTATATCAACATGCACATGACAATGTTACTAGGTTGAAAGAACTTGGAAAAATATGATTGTCTTGAATCAGAAATGGGATTCAAGTTCAAACTCACATAATAAGAAGTCAAGAAAATTGAAGGATAAAATTGTTCAAGAAATAAACAATTTTTGATGTTTTCCTCTTAGAAATTAAATAGAGTCCATTTTTTTGTGTTGGGTTAATTGTAAGGGCTGATTGAGGTGAGAAAAATGGCATTTAAATATCTTCCATCAATAGAAAATTACAGATTAGTGTTGTTTAAAAAATACATTAAACAACAAAAACAAGTCAGATAATGTAGAATACTTATTTTTATTTACTATAATCTTAATCTTAATTTTATTTAATCTTAAGTTAAATACAAATCTAAAACAAAATAAAAAATATTTTACTTCATTAAAAAAAATCTTAACAATAAATATTATTTAAAAAAAATGTTATTATAATATCTTTATTAAAAATGAACTAAAGTAAAAAAAAATGAACAAAAAAGTAAACAACTTCAAAGTAGTTGCCATTATTAGAGAACTTCAATACAATTCTAAAAAAAAATTATAAATTAACTATAACCTTAATTTTGTAAAATGGTTTTAATGCAAATTTGTTTTAGAAACCTTTAACTAGTGCCATTAAACTTGCATCTGAAACTCATATAAAATTTGACATAATAGCATAGACAATGTGAAACTATGGAAACAAACTGTTTAAAGAAACAAAAAAAAGATTAACTATTATTCAAAATCAATTAAACAACAATAAACAATTAAACAGCATTTTTAGTGCTGATGCCTTTAAAAAACTTGGCAAAATAAATACTCTAACAGAATATACTTTGTAACTCGGAGTTGATTAATATACTCTCAGTAAAGTCATAATAATAACAAGCCTGTGATTTGATTCACAACAAGCCTGTAATTTGAATCATAACAAGCCTGTGATTTGATTCACAACAAGCATGGAAGTTTTTTTGGCATCTGCTGAAGATAAAAATCAAGCAGGTTAGTTTTCACCTTCTTTTGCAGCTGCTATTTTAATTTAAATAATTTTATATTTAAGATTGGTTCTACAAACTTTAAATTTTTTTTTACCTGAGTCATTAACAAAAGGCAAGTTGAACATTTCATCTCTAATACACATCTGACTACTTCTCCCAAGGATAAGGACAAACATTAAAAAAAAAAAGTCTTAAAACTCCACTGCAGTTTGTGGACCAGACAACATTCTTGTTACAGTCAAGTAACAGTATTGCAAAAATGTTCTTCAAAACACTTTTGTAAGATTTTTTCAAAACATAAGTTTTTCAAAACATAAAATAATATTCTTTTTTTTTAACAAGTTATACTGCTTATATTATCTAAAAATATATAGGTTAGTTATTTATATTTATTAACAAGACCGTTACATGAATTTAAAAGACATTGTTTTTGTATGTCATCACTTTTTAATAAGGATTAAGAACAGTTGACCTTAAGTGTGATCTCTCTTCTGTGACAGGCTTGAAATGAGGGGTAAAGTTTAATTCAAGCAAAACCCAGTTGTTTACTGCTAAGAAATATTACAAAGCTATTGATATTTTTTTTAATAAATGGCAACTATATATGGGTTTATATATGGTATTTTCCTCTAACTCCACAAACTGCAGTTGAGTTAGAGGAAAATTTGCATCATGTATATATGAAAACCATATATAAAACCTGTGATGCAAAGTTAGTATCTGTTAATGTTGCCTCTCTTTATTTTGCTTGCCATTTCATTACTACTTATTCTGTTCTCTAATTATACAGCCATGACGCAGTGGTTAGCGTTCTGGCTAGTCCCAGAAGTCCTTACAATCTTAACTGAGAAGTTTACGCCTCAGTTAAGATTGTCAGCCTCAACACCAGCTTTAGCATAATAAGAAGACCTAGCTTTTCTGCAAATACAATCAAAGTGGCTTTCTCTTTTCTGCAAATACAATCATGGTGGCGGCACTTTATAAATAAAATAGCGAATTAGAGAATTTAAAGACCATTTTTTTAGTCAAAGTTAACTAATTTTAATGCTAACATTTAACCTATGCTTTAGCAAAAGTTTTGTTTATTTATTTTTTTTTTTTTTAACTTTAAAGTAAAGTGTTTTTTTATATCTACAATATAATTGCTAGAAGTCAATGTTCAATGTTCAATGCCATTAGTTGCTATTGTTCGATATTAGTAACGGTTCTGTATTCTGTAAAATACTCTAATGAAAACAGTTTTGTAACTTTTGAAATCACACGAGGCAAGCTTTTATATTTAATAAGGAGATTAAGCTGTATTTTTTATTTTTTAAACGTTTGTATCAGATTTGTTGTGTGTTGATGCCCTAACGATTTTTTATTTTTATTTACTATTTGTTTTATTTATTGACTTTGGTTTCACGCAAACTTTTATGGCTTTTCAATAAATGTTTTATTTAATGTAACTTACAGGATATAAATGAATTTTGTTCATAAATATAAATTTGATATTGTATGTTTGTTTATTTTATTTTATGATATTGTAGTTTGTTTATTTGCAGCAAACATTTGCTTACATTTTTATTCATGTTTATTTTGTTTAGTTATTTAGATGCTAAAAATACTAGCAGTAAGCACTTCCTACCATTTCTATTTATAATTTGTTTATTTATTTAGACTTAAATTAAAAGAAAATTTTCCAGAGTTGCGATAAATCATAATTCAGTTGTTGAACAGTTGAAATTGTAGAGGTTTCTATTCAAAGTGCTGTGAATTGGTAAACGTGTAAAGCAAGATTTTTCAACCTTGCCAGCCAAGTCACTTACTGCAAAGGGTTACAAAGCAGTGTTTCGTGTCAAACTGTTACTGCTTTAGGTCTAGGTGTTTTCAAGCCTTTATTAATAATTACTCTGAAAATACATAATGTATTTTAATAACATTTTGCGTAATATTGTTACTGATGTTCTGTTATATATGAATGTTATGTTTCTTAAGTTATGTTATATGCATATATGAACTTATGTTATATGAACTTATGATGAATGCTCTTGTTGTTGTGATGTTGTTTTTTTGTAATCTTTTGAGTTGATATACATTTGGTTTACCTTCAAGTTGTTGTCTACTGTTAAAAATGATCATAGTTAATTTCATTATTAGACCTCACTGCATTTAATCATTCACTAAAATTAATATTTAGATTCACTAAAAGCCTACTACTACTACTCTGGTAAATCACATCAGCTTTATCAGGTACAATGATTTCTTTTTTTTGTATGTAATTTTTTTCTTATTTACTTATTTGTTACATTTTTTATTTATCAAATGATGTATTTATGTGGTATAGAAGAACAAAATATTGTTAAGTTTTGTGAATTTTTAAAAAATTTTTACTAATATTTTTTTCAAATAAATAATATTGAAGTTTGCTTAAAAGGCTTTTACTATGTTTTTTTTTCAATTTTTCTATATTAGGAGTTTTTATTTTATTATTTTTAATGCAAATATCTATTTTTTATTATATTATTATTTTTTCTTTAGATCTAAATTGGAGCAGCTACAGACTATATTGCTCCCAGCAATATAGTCTGTAGCTATCGAATATATACCATATCAGTTAGTCAGTTTTGAAAAAATGTACTGCAGCAATTTATTAACTATAACAAAAATCACATTTAAATTTGTAATATTTTTAAGTTATAATTTTAAACTAATTTGTTGATTTCCAGCAGATTTTATTACTTTTGTTTTGAATTTAATAATTTAGTGTTTATAGCTGCCTTTAACTTATGTAAAGCTTTAATAAATTTAGTCTTCTGATTTTAATGTGTAATAAATAATATAAAATATTGGAAAAAAGATTAAGTAATAAAAAAAAACAGATAAGTAGTCTTTGATAAACTTTGTCATGTTGCTTATTATATTATTGGCATTTCAGTGATGCTGTTAAATTTCTTTCTTTTCTTTAGAATTTAGAAAAATGAATTAAACTACAACTTTTGAACAGTCATTGTTTGTGAAGGTTAAATTATTTGCATGTTTTTTATACAATTTTTTTATAGAAATAATATTAAAGTTTACTAAAAGGGGTTTACAAATACTTTACTTTTTATTTTTTGTCTATTAACAGTACCCTTTACCATTAAAATTTTTATTATTATTATCTTTTTTTTAATTACTATTGGTTAATTTTTTTATTTACATTATATTTATAAATTTATTTTTTGTTTAAACATCTTTTAACGGATATATTTATAAAAATGTTTTTATAAAAAACTCACAATATTGTTGTATAATTTGGTTTATTTTAAATGAAAATTTCCTATGTAATGTTTTGAAAATTACTCTTTGTGTGTGTGCAATTGAGAGAAGTAAAAAAAAAAAAATCACAATCTTCAAGATTCTTTCCAAATTTTTTGTTACTACTATCAATTAAAAGTGAAGTTTAAATGGATGATATAAGGCTAGAAGTGGCTATTAGTTTAGAAAATGATGGAAATGTTAATAAGCAAGTTGAAAATAATCGTCGCAGAAATGCAAAATTGGCTGAGGCGAGATGAAATTAATAATCAACAAAATGCTAGATATGCTGCACGACAAGCTGCAAATAATTTGAATTAAAATGAGGACAGTGTGATTAGGCAAGTTGAAAATAGTCGTCGCAGAAATGCAAGAAATAGGCTGAGGCAGGATGAAATTAATAATCAACAAAATGCTAGATATGCTGCACGACAAGCTGCAAATAATTTGAATTAAAATGAGGACAGTGTGATTAGGCAAGTTGAAAATAGTCGTCGCAGAAATGCAAGAAATAGGCTGAGGCGGGATGAAATTAATAATCAACAAAATGCTAGATATCCTGCTCGGCAAGCAGCAAATACTTTGAACTGAAATAGGGAGAAAAAAGGGCATGATAGACATCACTATAATCCCCTTCACATAATGAAGTTGCAGTTAAATTTTTTGGTGAAGATGGTGCTCCACCTACTTCCAGTGAAGTTGTTATTTTCCCAAGAGGTCATCCTCCTAAAATATATCAAGTATGTCTGGCAAATTAGAGCCTATGGTTTGTTCTCTATTTTTTCTAAGGGGTGATGCTGGTTGGCATAATCAATTGGTTCACAACCCTGAACGTGCTACGATCAAATTGGTTCACAACCCTGAACGTGCTACATTGATTAGAAATCATGTTACATTATTTCAGTATTATAGTTATAGAAACTATAAAAAAAAAGAACATAATTACGTTTGAATTTATAAAAAAAATTTAAAATTGTTTAAGTTGGACAATTAACCTAAACAAAAAAAATAGGTGAAGTGATTTTTAGTAACTTCAGATCATTTTGTTGTTTTCTTTTTATTACTATTAGAAGGGTTAATAATAAAAGTTTTTAGGCAGTAGAACTGGTACTGATTTTAGTAAGTTTGCTATATTTTTTTATTTAATATTTTCATTAGATTTAATAGGTTTCATAAGTTTTTTTAAATTACTTTGGAGTAAAATATATTAAGTGATATTACTTCATTTTTTACACTTTTAGATTATGTATTGTTGTCTAGATTCTTTGTTAAATTACAATTTATTGATGTAAATAAATTTTTATTTTTATTTTTTGATAGACAACTTTTATCGAAAAATAAAAATTTATTTACATCAATAAGAAGGCTTGAACTTCCTATTAAATGCTTATCCACGGTGCTCTGTGATAAGACCTTGAGGACTTCTTGGAGCACCTAAAATAAAATTAAAAAAAAAGTTGTTGAAATATAAGAAATGCTGCTCAGCGAGCAGAAAACTTACTTGCCAGAATTCAGTGTCAAACTGTGTTAATGTGTGTTTATTTGATTTTATTTTAAACACTTTAAAACAATTTAAATCAAATAGTTTTAAATTTAAATGATTTTAAATTTTTTTATAAATTCAATTGTAATTATGTTCTTTTTTTTTTAGTTGCCTTTGTTATCACTTGTATTATTAGTTTGCTTACTGTTGAAACTTGGTTTTAATTTTGTAAATTTAATGATATGAAATTTACTCTATCAATCATTAGTTGACAGTTAAAGAAAAGCTGGAACTTTACATAATAAAGGTAAAAATAATTTTGTTTACTCTTAGATAAGAGTTAAAAGAGAATTAGTACATGGAGCATCAATAAAACTTATATAATTACTTTTTAGTTAAAAAAAAGTAATTATATAAGTTTTATTAATGCCACAATTGATAATGACCATGTATATAAAAAATTTTATGAGCTGCTTGGTATTTTATGATAAAATTGTTCAATATTGTAATCAATAAAATCTTTTTAGCTCAAGTATTTTAGTTGATAAAATATCTTAATTTGTGGTGTTATACTTAATTACGTTATGTACTACGTTAAGTTGTCTAGCCTTTATATAATATTTTCTTTTTTAATCATTTTGGAGAGACAGTAATGTGTGCTTACAAATATCTTATGCTATGCGCTATTGTTAATGTGTTTTGTGTTGATAGAACTGGGCTATTACAGCAATTTTTTAAGTCTTTATATCTTCATTCTACCAACAATAAAATGCAAATAATACTTTGTAATTAAAATTTGTAATTATTTTTTGTTCCTTGTTTTAGGCATTGGAAGGCTTTACTTGACTTTTTTTTTATGGTACCTGCTGTGTTGTAACAGATTTTAAAAAGAACTTAACTGATGATAGCGTAGTCTTTTTTGTTGTTAACTGTAAGCAATTATTTAATTACTAACAACCCATATTACGGGTTGCTTACTGCTAGTTTATATAAATAGTAAAAATGAAGAATAAATCAGAACTTAAAACTACATAGAATCACTAGTTTGTTTCCAAGGTCTCCATTACTGAACAAAATGTAACCAATTTGTAAATAAAATAATGTGTATATATATATATATATGTATATATATATATATATATATATATATATATATATATATATATATATATATATATATATATATATATATATATATATATATATATATATATACATATATATAAGGGCTGTTCAGTATGCTAGTTCGTTTTCACAACATAGCTAATTGAAGTTTTTCCCATTCGACTATTATATTGTGGTTCAAAAATATTTTTTTCTAAATTTTATTATTTGTCCTGAAGGTCCCTTAAAGTCTTCAAACATTTGACAAGTCCCTAATATTATTAAAAAAAAAAATTATTAAAAAATATGTCAACCTGGTACTCAAAAAAAGTAAAATTTTATCAAAATTTTAATAATTAGATTTATTTTTTATAAAAACAACCATTTTAGGTTTTTTTGAATAAAAACTATGGTTTTTAAACAAAAAATAAAAAAAAAGTTGATATTCACAACATTTTTAATAATAAGTATTTTTAAGTTATTCTAAAAAAACATTTTTTGAAAATGTCTGATAGCACCCCCTAAATGTGTTCTATGTAATAAATAAATACTACATTTAAAAATTTTTTGAATAATAAAAATTTTTAGGAGTCGCTCAAGACCCTTAAATATCAGACAGCTCCCTAATATTTTGAAAAAAAAAAAGTTCTTTAAAGCATATCATGTTGGGTCTCAAAAGAAGTAAAATTTTATCAAACATCTAAAAAAATTTGATATAAAGATTACTAGTTAAAATTTTATGGTTTAAAAATTATTGTTTTTTAACAAAAAATAAAAAAAAACATACTTACATGTTTTTAAAATAAACTTTATTAATTTGTGTTTTTATAAAAATTTTTGAAATTTTTTTAAAATTTCACTTTTTTTGAAACCCAACATGATATGCTTTTAAATAACTTTTTTTCAAAATATTAGGGAACCGTTTGATCTTTAAGGGTCTAAAAATTTTTTCAAATGAAGTATTAATTTATTACATAGAATACATTTAGGGGGTGCCATCAGACATTTTCAAAAAATGTTGTTTTTAGAATTACCCTATATATATATATATATATATATATATATATATATATATATATATATATATATATATATATATATATATATATATATATATATATCCTTATAGTGTAGCCGAAAGAGCGTTTTAATGTAAAAAAAGTCTCTTTCGACTACAATTTTAATTACCTCGTCTCTTAAGCTGTATTTGATTGTCGTCGAAATGTCAAACCAATTAAATTAATGCGGAAGTACATTAAATTTTATTGTTTTTTAAAAATTTTTTAAAAAACCGCAATTATAATAACTAGAAAGTTTTTTTTATTAGTGGTGTTTTTGTTTTATTAAAAAACATTTTTAAAACATGCGTAAATGTTGCTGCATCCACTATCTTATAGCCTGACTCGCAACGGAGTGCTGCTACATCGACTGACAAATAGCCTGACTCGCAACGGAGTGCTGCTACATCGACTGACAAATAGCCTGACTCGCAACGGAGTGCTGCTACATCGACTGACAAATAGCCTGACTCGCAACGGAGTGCTGCTACATC